CAATTATAGCATTGGGCAATTATACTGTATATAAACTGCGGGCATCAGGGAGCTGCTATTAATATGCGGGGCATTGAAATCGTTTTTGAACGCGCGCATGTTTTTTACTTTCACTTTCGAGATTCACGATCACATACGGAGCAGCACTCTGCAGTACTTACCACACATTTTACAAGATTAGATGTTTGTCAGTGCTGCTCAGGATCTGCAAATCATTTGCCATCATCCTATCAGTCATCTCTCCTTACTCTGTTTATGTGGTAAGTGAAATGTTATGTACTGTAACGTAACAGGCTACCGTTAGCAAGCGGCTAACCATGTCCCTTTAGTGGCTCCGTAGAACGCGTTATTTGTTTTCCGCGCCTTTCTAAACACAGATTCAGCCACACCTCTAACCCAGTCGGGGGTGTTTGTGGTCCGCACAGAACTCTTATTTGACATCGTCCCAAGTTACTGTAACCGTTATATGCTACGCAAGTCTTTTTTTATGCCACGCAAGTCTACAGTGTGCGCGTGAGACAATGTGTTCTTCTGTTTTCTTTGACAGCTTTTAGGTGCGTTATTGGCAGCGCCACGCTCTGCTTACATGAACGCGTCACCACTGCATCAGCACGGAAAACATGGGGAAATTTTTTAAGACAATAATCGCACAACCTATTAGATATTCTGTAATTAAATCAACTAATCGAATATTCGAAAATCGTGACCCATCCCTACTTGATACATCAGTACATGTTATGACTTCTATGGAAGAAGAGAAGGAAAATATGCTAGTAGATCTATAAAAACGACACACCACGGACCACAGCAAGTCACTGGCTGGATTGCTAGTTGCAGAAAGTCTGAAAAAATTAATGGGAAAGCTCGAGTCAGACTTGCAGACTTGTTCCCTGTCATTTTGGATCTAGGGAACAGTATTGCAACACAAAGAGACAACGCAAAGTACATCTTGTATTTGGATTGAGGATCTTTCAGGGCATGCAAGACTGTAAAAGAGCAAGAAGAGGCCAGAGAGAGAGGAAGAGCTGACATTTTTGGATGAATAAACCTAACCTGCTTTAAACAGGTTGTTTTAAACATGCATGAATCCATGTCACTTTGAATCAGCTTCAATTTGGGTCAAAAAGTTTCAGTCGGTCTTGATTTCTTCCTAAGATTCATTACGAGAAATCCAGAATCACCATATGTATTAGGCATTTTAATTAAAACAGATGTAATAGGTTGATGAACATGATAATTTGCAAGAGAGAAAATTACTAGATTAGCAAGAGCATGAAGTTTTGCGAGAAGATGATGGAGTCGTTGGTTTCAGATGATTAAAATTTAATTACACTGCCGACGTCTTTAAGGTGTGACCTCACCTGCTGCACTGGAGACTGTGGGCCAGTTCTGGACCAGCATGCCTTGCGCTCCCTGCATCACAGCTGATGCCTCCTCCATATGCACAGAACTAAAAAGAAAACAATTAGCATGTCATTGGTCTTGAAATATCACAAATCTATTATTAAAAATACACCGAGAAAATATTCAGTAAAACTGATTCGAAAAATAAAAAACATTAAAATACAGCTTCACTTTTGGGCAGTGGCAGATGAGGGGGACAGTTGTGTTATGTGTCAAGAGCTGCTGTGTTCGCATGTATTTATTTAAGCTTTGGTCTGAAGGTGCGTGATGGTGAAGGTACATGTGACAAGAGTGTGCTAGACTATATGTGATCTAATGTGTCTGTGCGTGAGGTGATATGTGTGTGGCATGCGAGTTGTCATGATGGTGTCATGATGTTTTAACTCCTTCAGACATGTTGACTGGAAAGCACATTGATAGAGTGTCTAAATATATACAGGAAAGAAGGCAGGAAGATGATAAAAAATGAACTTTTTTAAGTATATTAAAAATATATTTTAAATATAAAAGATATATTTTGAAGTATATTTTAGATATTTTTCAACATCCACAAGATTACTTGTTTTACTTGAGTAGTGACATTAGATGAGGTGTTAAGATTTGTATCATGAACATAAAATACCATTCAAAAGTTTGAGGTCATTAAGATTTTTTAATGTTTTTGAAAGAAGTATCTTATGCTTACCAAGGCTGAAAAATAATAATAAATAAATACATACAAATAAAATAAAAAATCCTGACCCCAAAATTTTGAACTGTAATGTCAGTGTACAGTATTTGTCTTAACTGCAGTAGCATATTTTTTTGCAGGTTTTTAAATTCTTTATGTTGATGCCTAAAACAAGTGAAAAAATATGCCAAAAGACAAAATATATTTGTATCAAAGATGGGTTACTCATAATATCTTACGGCATATTTTAAATAAATGTATCCTGTTTCGAGGGTTTTTATATTAACTGGAAAATAAATATTACAAATAGGATTTTCTGCAGTGTAGGGAATGATGAAGAAACATAGAAGAAATGTGAAAAGAAAGATGATATAAAAGTGAAAGTGTTCATCAAAGAGAAAAATATGTGGATTGTATGGATATATATTACCATTTCAGCGCCTCTCTACTCTTGCAAAGGGCCATTTCATAATCTGATTTCCCCTAATACATTGTTCAGTTTCTCTACCATCTTTATCTTCCCTCCATTCCTCTCTCCATTCCTCTCTCTCGGACTGTCAGCAGGCCATGCATAACATAAGCCTGGGAATTTGTGGTAGACAGTTGAAGATGTAGTATGTACTTAAAATTTCAACAAATACCACGCTACACCCTAGAGCTGCGAGTATGCATTAAAAAGCATTACGTTAAAGGGACATTTCATTTCCTACATACACTTTCCAGCGACGGCCTTTGGCTTTCAGCACGGATCAATGTGTTTATCACCATGGAAACCACGATCAGACAAGCACCCACATAAAGAGCAGGACTGTGAATTTTGCCACAGCACTCCTATACATCCATTATAAATGTACAGACATGAGGAGCAGAAAGGAAGTGGGTATAGCAGGGCATCTGCAATGCAGCACAGGGTGTGCCCAACCTGCTACAGCTCCCATAACTCTCATCCAGTGTGTGTGTGTTAACATTATGGATCTTTCTAATTCCCTTAAAGCTGAAATGCACCCGTGCCTTGTGGCAGAGTGAATCAGTAACTTTCTTGCCTAAGGAGAGGCTTGTCGATTGAGGGGTGTGGATTTAAAGCCACTGGAGAGGAGGTTTGTATACTGGAGGTGTTTGGAGTAAGTCGAAATGAAGAGGAAGTATGACAGAGAGTTGAGCAATTCAGGAATTATTCATCTTAATTTGTGGTTCATTGATGGTCAATGAAAAGTTATGAATACATAATGTAAATCTAAGATTCAATAATAATAATAATAATAATAATAATAATAATAATAATAATAATAATAATGTGATATACTGAATTTACAGAAAGCTTTAAAGACCCCCTACTGAAATTAAACTGCACATAATTGTTGAAATTCAAATAATCAATTTAATTAAGGATATGCAATATACATTATCGTTCAAAATTTTGGAGTTGGTAAGATTTTTGTTTTTGAAATAAGTCTCTTATGCTCACCACCAAGGCTGCGTTTATTTGATCAGAAATACAGAAAAAAATTGTAATATTGTAAAAAGTATTATTAGAATTTAAAATAACTTTTCTATTTGTATATATTTTAAAATGTAATTTATTTTTGTTATAGCAAAGCTGGATTTTCATTAGCCATTACTCCAGTCTTCAGTGTCACATGATCCTTCAGAAATCATTCTGATATGCCGATTTGATGCCCAAGAAACATTTCTGCTTAAAAACAGAATGCATTTATTTGAAATATAAATATTTTGTAAAATGATAAATGTGTTTACTGCCACTTTTGATTAATTTAATTCATCCAATTTAATGCACGATATTAAAACTATCAGTCGATACTGGCTATTCAATTTTGCATGCTCACTTTTTTCTCTATTTAAATACATATCACATTAATATCACTTTTACCTTCATCTAATGCTCACTTTAAAAACACTAATAATTTAATAACACTGTAGCAAATTCTCTCAAAATGTTTCAAAATATCAAAATGAATATTCTGTACATTATAATGTTGTGATGCCTAAATTAACCTTTCACTAAATTAACATTTAAAATGATTCCGTTTCAATTTTAGTGTTTTATTTTTTTTTTATTTAGACAAAACCAAATAGAATTTTAATATATGCGATTTATCGGTTATCGGCCATGCCAATCATCTTATCTGACAGAATTAATATTGAATTTAATACTGGTGCATATCTAAATGTAATTTTTTTTAGTATGCAAATTTGTACTATGTTTATATGGTGCTCTAAGTGGCTCAGTGAAATTCCATCTAATTTGTCCCCTGTGCCCCTTTTTGCACCAGCCTTCAGTCACAGAAAACCACATAAAACACACATACACACGCACACACACACAAAACCATCCCCGGAGATGAGCCCACAGGGTAGCACAACATTATCACATAAAACAGACAGTCATTCACCCTTTGGAAACTCTATGTTTCTGGTGGTTAGAGGAGGGGGCCTTGTTGTCTCCAGATGTAAGTGTGTGTGCATGTGTAAAGAGTTAGAGAATAAATATTTTGCATTTCAGAGATGACTCATTTTGTCAGTATTTGTGCATCGAAATACCCCCCCTGAGATTTGAATTTCCTGCTTATCGGTTGTGGGTAAGCTCACACAATCAGCTCATCTGCTAGCTTGTCCTTTATGCTTGTTTGTGAAGGACTGTGCATCTGCTGTGGAGAATGCTGATGACCTACATACTCAAGATCAGACTGCAGAGCCACTATGCCAGGGTAAGGCCCTTAGCAAACGCTTCAAAGCTTGTGTTTGTGCGTGATGAAGACAGACAGAGCACAGTTGGTCCACAGAGAAAGAGACAAGAGGTCAGGAAGAAGTCAGAGAGCTCCTGGTGGTCATGCTTCTGGTGTTTGGATGGGACTCTATTACAGCTACTGCAGACAGAAGAACTGACAGTCTTTCTGTTTTACTAACTGGCTCCTTGTAATTTCTTATTTCACCCTCTTTTGTTAAAACTGATCAACAGTAAATATATACAGAGACAAATTGTATGCCTATAATACTATGATTTCATGTGGTTGTGGAATTAAATCTGATATATTTCTGATTTGCACTGCTTCCTAAATTAACTTTGTAATCAAGAAATATGTAGGGGAAATATATTGGATGACAGAGTAAGGTTAAAATGGGTTAATACCATAAAAATACATTTGTAGTGCATCAGACTTTATGAACTGAACAATATGACCAATGCTGTTTCAGTAAGTTGTATAAACCAGTGTTGTTACTGTTAACTAAAATTAAAACTATTAAAATTGTTTTCATTAATTGAAATAAAGCTGAAATAAAATACAATTTAAACATTAGATGAAAAACCTAAACTGTAAAACATAAACAAAAATTAGAAATGATGCTTCGGCAACTAAATGAAACAAAATCATGTTTAAGTACTTGCACATATTTAAGTATAATAATAATAATAATAATAATAAAGCTAAATAGAAATATTAATTCATATTTTAAACTAACATAACAATTATTAAAACCTTATTAATTATTAAATTATATTATATTAATTATTTAAAAAAATAAAATGAAAACTGAAAATATAAAAGACAATTCAAAATATGAATAAATATCATGGTAGTACATTAATAATACTAAAATAAAAATAACTATACAAATAAAAACAAAATATGTATTTTTTTATAAAAAAATACAAATATTACAATTATACATTAATCAATGAACAATAGTATATTTATATAAAAAAAGAAAAAATCATTAACCTAGATTATTAAATTCTAAATGGTTTTCATTGTTAATTTATGGTACCTGAAGCAATATCTAATGTTGCAAACTGAACCATACTCTAAAAGTGTAATATTTTTTTCTAATGAGTGAAATAGCAATTCTTTGTTTAATGAAAATAATTTGAAACATTTTATGTAATGTATAATATTTTGAGGATGCGTTTAGCTTCTGCTCTCCCTTCTATTTGATTAAGTTCAAACACGATTGTTTCCTGCATAATGACATTGAGGGTCAGGATTTTATTATTACCCGTCAGGAAATTAGGAAATTAGAGATGGACATGATTCACAGTGCTTTTGCACTTTTACTCAGCTACCAAACTCAAGACCAGAACAAGCACTTAACTTTTAATTTTTATTTAGCTACAGCAAACAGAGAAGAGATGTTTTCCATAACAGTTCAGAGAGGACTGTAACTCTTTCAGGACATTATTAACAGCAAAAGTGCTTACCTCTGCACTCCTGCCCTCAACGAAGCAGAGTAACGCCAGTCAGCATTTGGTCCTTTGGGCTGGAGAAGGAGAGAAAGAGAGAGAAAGATGAGGAGAGATAGAGGGAAAGAAGGGGTGGAAGGACAGAAAAGGGTTAGATACATTCTCATCAATAAATCATGCTGTTCTGTGTGTGTGTTTCTGTCTTGTATTTTAATATGAACCACAGCTAAAGGAGACCAGAACTACAGGGACGGTTATTGGCACTATGCCATGGCCCATGACTCACTGGTATAAAACTTCTATGTGTGGAGAGAGTGTTCTTCATAATAAAGCACATGAAGGACACTTGACATTCACCTAATAACATACACAACATTACAAGGGATGCACAATATATGGTACCATATGGTTAATGATTGATATTAGTGATTTTAATATATCGGCATTGGCAGATATTAGATATTTTATTATGTATATGATCAATTCCACCAACACTTTTGAAGTTGTAAATAAAGATTATTGGAGCAGAAAATCTTTTACAAGAAAACGATATTTCAGTCTTTCTACTTAAAAAAAAAAAGTCTTACTTTCAATTTCTTTGAGATTATTTGTGAAATTTACTAGTGAAATTTCTGAGTGAAAACTGTTTCAACACCATTTTTCAGTATGTTTTTACATTTAAACCATAAAAAGTCTCAGATTTACTTTGTAATTAGTTCATTAGTAATTAGTCAAATTTACTAGCAATTTTTGAGTGAAAATTGTTTCAAAGAAGTGGCAAGAACACATTGAATTAAACAAGAAATTTTGAGGTAGAAAGACTCAAATGGTATTTTCTTGTGAAATATATTCCAATAAGCTTTATTATTCATTTACAACTTTGAAAAATCATTTTACAGTTTAGATAATCTTTGCCATAATCTAGTGCTTATTCAAATTATCCTTAAAGAATTTGTAAATGTATTCTTGATGGAATATGCGCTTTTTATATTTTCAATTGTAATTCTGTGATGACTAAATTCACCTCATAGCTTTTAAAATGACTGACTGTGGTGATTTTATTTAATGATTATAGAATCATAATTTTAATATCAGCCATTTAGCACTTATCAGCCATAACATTTAAATAAATACATATTTGGTATCAGCCAAAATTTTCATATCTGTGCATCACTATAGCCATTACCACACATTTTTAAATGACTTCACCCTTTCTGCTACATCAAGTCCCTAAACATCTTTCTCTTCTCCCAGCATCCATCTCCAGCTGACCTCATGTAATATGAAACTTGAGCATTTTCTGCTCGTCTCAACCAAAGCAACTCAATCTGAGCACTGGTCACAAGATGACCATTCACCTTGCAAGCCTCAAACATAAGATGGTCATCTGTTCCTCCAGCAATTCACAGTGAATGAATTAAATGGCCTTGCACAGAGGGAGAGCACAAGCACGTAGTTGCCACTCTTTTTATATTTGTCCTAGTAAAAAAAAAAAATAAATAGGTTGGGTAATATGCAATAGGATGAGGCATTAGAGAATGGCCCAGATAATTTGAGTAAATAACATTCTTTAATCAGGTGAATTCAGGGGAGAGAGAGTGCGTGCAAAAAGACTTTGCTTCGCTCTCACAATGTAATTTGCAGGGTTTGAGAATCAAAGGCTGGAGGTTAATTTCATTGCCTGCTCTCTTATCTTGGACAGACGGCCTCTGCTCCTAAATCCTCTGCAGTGTCGAATGTGCTGCAGTGCCTCTCACAACACATCTGAGGCTGTCAAGAGCATCTCTGCAAACTCTAGTTATTTTTGTACTGTAGACTATTTTTTTAGACTATTTTTGTCTTTTTTAAACCATCTGCAACATCTCCTCCCATGAGCCAGAGATCAAGGCTGCACCGCCTTTGGATCATGTTCTGGCTAATTAAAACACATTTCACGAATCCATGGCTGACAGAGTGAACATGAATTCACACCAATTACAGTGACAAAAACACATAAATTGAGCATCTATGACAGCAAATGCATTGCACAGGCAATATACTAAAATGTATCCTATCCTGCATTAACTTTGAGGAGCTTTTTTCCCCAAAATGATCTATGTGGCACCCAAAACATATGTTACTTCAGTGTAATTTAGTGTATACAAAATAATGTTCAAATTCAAATAAAATCTTGGAGTAAAGACAGTGACATGGGAGTGGAAGGAAATAATCCTGAAAATGTGATGACAGCTTCAGATGTGGGAGCAAATGCCTAAATCATCATAAATGCAATGTACTACTCTAGAAAGTCTTGATGTTTGACACTAATGCAGGGTGAAGCAAAGCACTGTAAAGCTGCACTAGATAACCGCACAGTACAACAGGAGATGACAAAGTCAAAAGCTTCTGACACGTGGGCACAGAGCTTTATTGCAACTCTTGGTCTGACCAAATTACCTTTTACACTAAAACATACTGGAAACCAGAGTAGCACTATATTGAGCTAAAGCTCAATTCTGGTTTCCAGTATATCTAGTTTTATTTAAATTTAGACAGAACTTGTGCTGCATGAGAACATTTTACGGTTTTATGTTTAGTTATTTAACATAAGTGTAACCAAAATTATATATATATAAAAATGCTATAGTAAATAAATGGTGAAAAGTGGTTTAACATACAGCATTTCCTGGTTAAATATTGTAAAATGAATCATTTTTAGAAGAAAAAAAATATGAATTACCAAATAATTTGTGGTTTAAATCTACAAAATACTCAAAAATAATGACTAAATTTATGGTAAAAATCAATAAATAAACATTCTCAGAAATTCATGTGTGATGCATCACATTATGATTAGATTTTATTTAAATAATTATTCTTTTTAGCATTTATTTATTTAACATTTACTGTTATTTAGAATATATGTAAAACCCCAAACACTGGCATCTTTTTTTTTTTTTTTACTGTAAATTTGATAGTTTTTTTTCCAGTTTTTGTATTTTTACGGATATATACTTTCTAATGAGACACACCTGTAGTGCTGCATCTGGCATACTAAGCCTGCGAACAAATCCGCTCCCTCCTGTAAAAAAGCGCTCGGAGCCCCAGGTGCCACTGATGGGTCGGCCCGTGTTGTAGAACATGAACGTGTCGCTGCCCGAAGTAGCAGTCAGACAGGTCTTGTAGCAATAGGTTTTGGTCAGAGAGCCATTACCCCGGACCTCAATATGATGAGGCTCAACCTTGAGGTCTCGTCTAAGCACCACATTGTTATTGGGTTGAGAGCCACCACCACCACCTCCGCCTCCCCCTCCTGAGCCACCTTCCGCTTGGGCCTTCTGGGACACGCAGCAGGGCGAACAGGACCCGGGCTGGCTGCAATAGGCATGGCAGCGCACGATAGCCAGCACAACCACTGTCACCAAGAACACAAAGGTAGTGGCGCTCAAGGCTACAATGAGGTATAATGTCACGTTGGAAAACAAGAGAGAGCTGTGAGGGCGGATAATTCGTTTGGGGTCAGGCGTGACTTTTAGTGGCACCTCCATGACAGCGACGTTGATTGTAGCGGTGGATGACAGAGGTGGTTCGCCATGGTCCCTTACTAGTACAGTTAGACTGAAAGAGGTGGAGTTGTCTTCAAGGACGCGCCGCGTGGTACGAATTTCTCCTGTGTGTTCGTGAACTTTAAAGAGATCCAGATCGCTGGCCTGGTCCAGCAGATAGACGACCCATGCGTTCTGTCCTGCATCTGCATCATAGGCCACTACCTTTGTGATCAAACTTCCTGGCTCTGCATTTTTCTGAACTGTCTCTGTTAAGCGTGTGCCATTGGCTGGAGGACTCACAATCTCGGGCGCATGGTCGTTTTGATCCATTATGTAGATGTAGACAGTGGCTACACGGCTGAGTGGTGGGATACCCCCATCCTGAGCTTTAACCTGGAAGTGAAACTCCCGTAATGACTCGTAGTCAAAGGAGCGAAGGGCATAGGCAACATCTGTGTCCGCTTTAATTGACACATAGGAGGTGACCGGGATCCCGTGATTGTTGTCGCGAATTAGTGTCCTCGTAGTCCACATTGCTCTTGACTCTGATTTCTCCAGTGTTGGTGTCCATACTGAACATCTGCCTGACCCTGTCTGGGGTGTAACTGCTGAATGAATAAAGCACCTCCCCGTTTGTTCCTTCATCTTGGTCTGTGGCTTTCAGTTTGATAACCAAAGTGTCTTTGGGCGAATTTTCAAGCAATTTGACTTTATATACTGAGCTGTCAAAAACGGGGTTGTTGTCATTCGAATCCAAGACGCGAACGTTAATTTTAGCTGTACCTGTTCGTGCTGGTGTGCCACCGTCTGTCGCTGTCAGGATTAACTGATGGTAAGGGGCGAGCTCGCGATCCAAGGGCTTTTTGAGAACGAGCTCGATATGCTTAGTATTCAACGAAGGCTTGTTGGAATCGAGAGCGAAATGCTCGTTTGGGCTGAGCCGGTACAATCGAACCGAATTGGTACCGATGTCCGGATCTTGCGCGTGCTCGATCGGAAAACGAGAGCCCGGCAAAGCCGACTCTGTGATCTCCAATTGATACTCGTCTCTGGGGAACTGCGGCGTATTATCATTCACGTCTATTATCTCCACATCGACATTATGGTCTTCATTTGGGTCCTCAAGAAGAACCTCTAGATTCAAAACACACGCGGCGCTTGTATCACACAATGTCTCTCTGTCAATTCTCTCGTTTACCAATAATTTTCCATTCTTATGGTCCACGTACCTTTTGCCGCTGTCAGAGGTTACCTTAATCTTTCGGGTGGAGATCTTTCGAACATCCAAACCCAAATCCTGTGCAATATCACCTACAATCGTTCCACTTTCCGATTCCTCTGGCACGGAATATCTTATTTGTCCGAGAGCAAGGCCACAAAATAATAGTAATAGCAAAAAAGAAAGAGGCACTTTTTTGTCTAGGCAATCACATATCCCTGCAACAGCCATCGCAAGATCATAGGAACAGCACTCCGCCTTGTCAGCTTGCAATATCTTGCCTCCCACTTCAGCATTAAAGGTTTTACATTTATATCATTCACGTCTGTTATCTCCACCTCGACATTATGGTCTTCATTTGGGTCCTCAAGAAGAACCTCTAGATTCAAAACACACGCGGCGCTTGTATCACACAATGTCTCTCTGTCAATTCTCTCGTTTACCAATAATTTTCCATTCTTATGGTCCACGTACCTTTTGCCGCTGTCAGAGGTTACCTTAATCTTTCGGGTGGAGATCTTTCGAACATCCAAACCCAAATCCTGTGCAATATCACCTACAATCGTTCCACTTTCCGATTCCTCTGGCACGGAATATCTTATTTGTCCGAGAGCAAGGCCACAAAATAATAGTAATAGCAAAAAAGAAAGAGGCACTTTTTTGTCTAGGCAATCACATATCCCTGCAACAGCCATCGCAAGATCATAGGAACAGCACTCCGCCTTGTCAGCTTGCAATATCTTGCCTCCCACTTCAGCACTAAAGGTTTTACATTTATTTGCACAATGGCCTAATTGTCAGTTCCATTCTAAACGCGCACGGATGCGTCCATGTTTCCTTTGTCCGCGCTTATCCTTTTTTTTTTTTTTTTTTTTTTTTTCTACAGCTAGTTCATGCCGCACTGCACTCAA